GATTGATTGTTACAAATTGATGACTCATGATTGTACAAATGTTTTTAATACTGACTAAACAAATGTCACTTGTGAGTTCTGAGTGCTTTTAATAAATAATATTTTTTTATTACATTGTACCCTATAAACATATGATACAACCACTATACTACCTTTGTGCATTCTAATCATATTATTTAACTATATCAATTGAGGTCTGAGTGTATACAAAATGGTGACTAGATTTCAGTATGCAAATCATGGTGATGTATCTGGTCAGAGTGCTCCACAAAATGGCTTTTTTATTATTTGCAATTATAAATAAAAACAATACAATGCATTCAATATGATCCGGTTTTAGAATATGTACTTATTGTTTGTATGACAAATTTTTAACCAAAGAACACTCATTTATTTTTGAATAAACAACCTATATTCGGAGTATGTTTGATTTCATTGTGACATACAATTGGATGTGACATGTATCAACAATTTATTATATTGCTTGTACCAATGGCAATCACTGCGAGATATACATTCTAAATGGAAGCAAGGTTGGTAAATATATCTATTATAGCATTGTTGGGAAAAAGGAAGAATTCTCAAGAAGTGGAGTTTATATTCATAAGATTTTAAATTCGCCAAAGCTTAGAGCTCCAGTGTGCTGAAGGGTATTGGAGGCACGAGATACAGTAAATATTTACGAGAAACCGATCAGTTGACCCCTACCACTCAGAAAGCAATCTGACCTACGATATTAAAGTCCATAATAGCAGAAGGTATAATACTATATCAAGAGCTAAAAATTTACTATTATGCACAAATTTCAGCTAAGAACTATGGATTATTCTTGGGTAAGTACCGATAGTAACATTGAGATACATGATTGCCTAATTACAAAATTTATAAAGATTCAATATTATATATACAGATAATCTCAGAGCACCAATGAAATTGAAATCTGTTAAGCAGTTATCGAGATATCAGGAATAGCTTACAATTTAAGCTTTGTAAATCTCAAAAACAATCAAGCTGCACTACATAATAAATGATTTTAAAATAGAATACATCCCCAGAAATATTTTGATCATCATTGTTTTCAGCATATGCATTAGAACATTAGAAAAATGTACTAATTAAATATAAATTATTACAATAGTAGGCATACTGAAATTGATGGGTTCCTCAATGTGAGCAACACGTTATCCACTGGTATATAAGTAGCCAATTACACAGCAACCATTTGCCTGGGTAAATATTTTTGGTAGACATTCTGACACATGTATGAACCTGACATTCAGTCATTACACAAAATATTATTGATAAAGGATTTCTATTATATAAAATTAGTTTATCATTAAACTAATCTGAGATTAAAAAAAAAAAAATTACAATTTTTGGTGGAAGTTTCTTAGTACCTAGAAGTACTACATCAAGGTCAGCTTGTTTTTCTGTTTAGTGCTGTCTCCAATAGAGGCAAATAATGTGGATGCAGGTGAGTTTCATCAAGATCTACAGATAAATGATAACAATACAATAGTATGAAGGAATTGCATTCTGGGTACAATGTAAACTATATGTACAAGGTAATTCAAATTATCACAATTTGATGATTGGCTTCCGTTAAAACTATATGGCTTTAATTTATGCCATTTCTTACAAAATCTAGATGCAAAAATGACAGGGCTCTGTGACTGTTTCTGTCATAATACTGTAAAATAATTTATTTTAACTCAAAATAATTTTCACTGAAAGTACTTTTGGGTGTTTTGTATGGAATTTATTTTCACTGATTTGATGAGGTTGAATGTAAAATATAGGAAAAAATGTATATTCGCTGAATTTTATTTTCACTGAATCATTCCTTCAGCGAAAATTAATCCCAAGCGAAAATAAAGTATTCTACAGTAGCCATAGAAACTAATAGGCTGGTTAACCCAAGCTGGTCCTCCACAGTGACTTGAGAAATATGGGTGTGTGATATGAATTAACAGAAATGCTATGGTAATAACCATCCCAACTCCCAATATACTCACAATATTGCGGATCTAAGCATCTATCGCTGCCAACCAACAAGTCATCTACAAAATCCAACCAAGTCATCCCATCAGTTTGCTCGACAGCTTCTTTTAACATTGCATTGAACTTGATCACAATTTGTCTGGTGATATCCATCACTGGATTGACGGGATGTATAAACACCTTCAGGCGCTTCAGGCTTTTTAGTTTCTTAACCACAGTCAGGTAGATCTCAATAACTTTATTGATGCCTTCCTCAAGACTCTGAATTATCAGAAGAAATAACATCAATTTAAAGGTTTAAGTGTCGCATGATACTTTGGTCTGGGTAAGTCATCAAATCTGCCATATTTCTCATCCTAAAGCAGTTTACAAACTCAATATCTTTTACTGTTTCCTCTAACGATTCAACTCTAAATGTCCTCATCACTGATGAGTACATGCTTCTAACCACATCAATTATTATTACCAATGCTGATGATAAAACCAAACATCCATGCGAATACAAATAGGTGGTATTATCCCTCATAAATTCCAGTTACATTGACTGGTTAATAACTGTTCATGTGATGCATCTCATTTATCAAAAACATCCATGGACGAGGAAATCAGCCGACGACGACAACAACATCATGTATGACAAAGCAAACAGTTTGCTATGGATGTAAATTTAATAATATTATTTTAACAAATTGCCCTGAAAAAGCTTCTTTATATAGTGCGCGTGGAATAGAAACTCAGCATACATGTGAAGAAAGGAAGGTAACAAAGAATAGAACAAACCAAACTGAGTGACTTTATTTTTGTACCTATTAATGTACAAGTATTACAGTGAGATTACAGTAGTACATCCAACGAACTGTCTGGATTTACTGGTCGATATTTGTCTCAGCCTAGGCCAATGAGAGGTCATACCTATGTCGTTTACTTACATCGTATTTGCATTTATCAACAGCATATATAATGCCCTCCCTGCAGTCTATCTCTCCCAGGTTGAATATCACGGTAGACTTCTTGGGAACACGTTTCATTATGGTGAAGAAGTTTTCTTTTGGATAGAACATGCCTTCCGGTCTTAGATGCCATATTTTACATCCCGTGGCAAGCATTGGATGGATAAAATGAGTAGAACCCTGTAATATATTAACGGTTATTATTACACATCTAGCACCAAAAACAACATAATTTACTATTCCGTAAAAAGATGTAACTTCATTCTTTCTTTCCAATGAACATTTTTTTCCTGTTATATAGGGTAAACCATGACAACAACATGGAATGTGTTTGGGACTATTGATGTTGTATTCGAACACTGTCTATTGTTTACATTTCACACAGAAGCATGTGATAGAGTCCCGCCACTGAGTGCAATTGTTCCCATAATGCAAATCGTTTGTCATTTTTTGGATGTTCTCTCTTCTTAAATTATTAATACAAGTAGAGAAAGGATGTATAAAAAAGTATGCACTCTGGCAGTGCGGGAATGCATTGACATTCATGACAAAACAGTCGATATGATCACCCATACTGCCTTCATGCATACTTTGCAGTACTCTCCCAACAAGAACTAGGCATACATCCCTTGTGAAAGCACCAACCACACATCATTGGCGGTATATATAAAGTCCTGACTACATCTGTCTAGACATACAATGTACACACATATGAATGAAAATGGTCCAAAAGCCTTGGAGATATAGTTGTATGGTCAATTAGAATGGGGACTAATAACTTTATTGCTTACTTGTATTTGGTTATAGCAAAAAGTGATATTTTATGAAATGTGATAGAATTTACGTGAGTAAATAAATGATATTAGTTCAAGAACCTCTCTGTTATACATATGTATTCAGCTCAATTTAAAATAATGTTAAAGTAAATTAAATATATGATTAGATTTTTACCGTCTTTCATCTTTGATGAAATTTTGAATTTATTAAAGAATGTTTTTCTTTCAGGATCATATTTCTAACAAGATAATAGAAAATCACATCTTCAATTAAATTTGTCATTACATCTTTGGCATATTCGTCTTTTTGGTTGTGTGTGTCTACCTTTTTCTTTCCACATTGTGATAGCTATTTCAAAATTTTGTATACCATTTTTGTATTTAATTCAAATATGTCTAACTTGTATTCTGTTTTAAATCTTACCTATCTTACCTTATATTGTATGCTTCGCCACGCCGGGGTTAAACAATGACTATCTGATGCGAAATAGATGAATTTTGGTGACGCTGGCACAGGATTGATATCGATAGTCATCAGTCGACTTATTGTCACATAATAAGCTGCTTCATTACGTATCAATGTCTTGTGTAAATCTCTATCTTTGTAACAAGGATCTGTCAAGTTAAAATAAAAACATTTTTTTACATGTAACACATAATTTGGTTGACATTTGTAGATTTTTGTGTTTTATTTTCTGATTATTTGTTTACAGGGATTTTACAGTAAAATGGTTTCGTTGAAGGAAATACAGCACCTTCGATTTAATCAAAGAAAGCCTAGAAAGAACTCTCGGCTGCTGATGGTATTGGAGGCATTTAAAAATATAACTGCAAGCAATGATCTGGGGGGTTCCAAGTACCTATGGTTTAACAATTATAAATATTTAATGAAATGATGACTTGATATTTTGGTCATACATGTATATCTTGACAAAAGTATAGCAGCAGTTGTATGTCCCTATCAGCAACAGTATTTATGTCATATTGATTTCAACTCAAACTAATCAGGTTTGCTCATATCCCAAGGCATTTATGTACCACATTTCATCAAAATCCTTTGAATGGTACTTGAAAAACAAGTGAAAATGCTTAAAATGTGCTAACCAATATGCAAATTAGATTATTAATATGCATGGATTTTAATCCAATACTTATCAGATTTGTGCATTGTCCTATGACATCTTTGTACCAAGTTTCATTGTAAAGTGATGATTACTACTGGAGATATCAGTGGAAAAGCTGAAAATTGACTAAGGGGTGATCTCATATTCAAAAATTTGGGTCAAACCTACGAAAACCCAAACCGCCCGAACAAAACCTAGTTTTGCAGTTTGGAAGTTTGAACAATAGATAGTGCGGTTCAGGACGACCGCACGAATTTGCATAAAAACTGCAGTTCGAACCGATCTCATTCACACCTCATTCAAGCTGTTGTTTATTTTTAGGATTGACAGAGTTTACATTGCTTTTTGAAGACTAGATAGTTGTCTTTAAAATGTGTCAATTTATTGGTGTACAGTAGTCATTTTACCATGTGCCTTGCCTAAAAAAACACTCTTTTATATATCGGTGAACAGCGTGCTGAATAAATTGTTTTGTTTTGATAAACTGTTATGTTCAAGTCGCAAATTGAGCAGAGGACGTAAATCAGACTTTTCATTGGGCTGGACAATTGATATGTGTCTCTGACAGCTAATAAGTATCAAAAGACGAACATTTGTTGATACAAAGTTGCACTTGAGACTTACGCTACTGTGTTCAAGCATGGACGTACGTCCATGGTTCAAGCCTTTACTACTGTTGTGCGGCATCGCAAAATCCGGAAAAACAAATGCAGCGTACGCCATGAAAATTTATTTCGATTTGCTGCACATTGGTTATTTGCAGTTTTTCTTATTCAATTTCCAGTGACATGAAGTATCAAAACAGAAAATTAAATTAACGGGATTCACGCTGATTATTTACGGCTATTCATCTGCAGACGAGACTGCTTATAAAAAACGAACACTGACCTCTGAAAATACCTTATTCAGAGAGTGCCTTGTACCTAAGACCGTCGCCCAAGGTGACACAGTGCACGTTGCGATATCGCAGGGGAATTTCTGATTGAGGTAACCAAGATGGCTGCGTTGAGTGCATGACTTTCTGCGGTGTTTAAAACAACACCTTGCTGCCTACTTTGCCAACAGTCCCTCAAGGCACTGTGCTTCGATGTATTTTCTAAAATAATCATTTATTTTTAACTAACAGGGGGTTCGAAATGTGTGCATTTTGTCACAGAAAAGTAAGATATCGGCAGCGGTAAATACCCGTAATTTCCCCGCAATGCTGTCAGCTAACAATGCTACGGTGATCGTAGCGCCGGAGTCGTAGCATTAGCCCCAACTTTAGTTTTGACACAGTGATAGAGGGACTGTGGTTTTCAGATGCCTTCATAGAAAACAATGTTGCCATTATCGATTTAAAACTTTCATCATATTTTGATAACTCGCAGTCTCACAGACTTTACAAACTTAACCAAAAAATGTGTTCTATGAATTTATGAACTGACATGGACACAAAACTGACCGTACTTGTTGCAGACAAAATGTACCAGTTCGCTCCATGGATAAACATATTTTACTGACTATGCCAAATATATAACGTAAGTAATTTATCCTAAGAAGCTGCTCATTCAAATTCTAGTGCATCTTTTCCCTGTTCTGTTTCAAACATTAATTTACCATATATATCACAATAGAGAGGGTTTATGGTATCACTTGATTCACATTTAATGACAAAATATAACAAACCATCACGTCTGTAATTAATTCCAGATAAATTGAATAACAATAACAATTGTATTGACTTGTACCAAAATGTAAGTTGTTGTCGCTCCAGACTCATGATCAGTAGACCCAAGTAAAAATCCTACCTTAGGCTGAACATCAAAAGGTCAACCCCTACCCTGGGTGAGTGTGCCACAGACTCAATGGGAAGGCCAATTCCACTGGCCGAGATTCATTCACTAACGAATGCGACTTTGGGGGAACCTTTGTTAAGGTCCGCAGGTGCTTGTGTTCGACCGAGCCTGG